TCTCTCTCTCTCTCTCTCTCTCCTCTCGAAGGAGAGTGATTGGAATCGCTGTCAGACAAAGAAACTCCATAAGGTTTGAAAAATTGATCTTGCGTGGTTTCAATATGTGGTGCTGCCTGTAGAAACCCGCAGAAACTCAAGCTACATTTTGTCCGAAAAGCTGGAAATGTCTCTTCGCCGATTCGAAAAAATTAGACCGTGTTTGTTACCCGTCTTTGTGCGACCGAACAGAGCGAATGGCAAAATCGTGTGTCCGATCTATCTCCAATTGCCTCCACTTTCTCTGACCGGTTCGGGTCACCAAGTTTCCCCATTTCCTTTACGGACACGCTAAAATAGCGAAGCTTGCTATGACACGCCGTCGCGTGTTCCGATTTCCTGCGAATAAAAAGCTTGCTCTTTGTCCGGCGGCCACATTGCTCGTTGTATCTCTTTTAGATAAAAGGCCCGGAGGATCTATTTCGCGTCGAATATCATCTGAGGAGTGAGAATTGGATATCGAGTTAGGTGTCGAAACTCGACGTTATTCCCCCAAAGAAAAAAAATGAAGAATCCCATTCGGAACAAAATCGCAATTATTATCTAAATTAAAAATTAACCAGTTTCTCGCAATCTTCTTGCAATTTGATAGAGAACAACTGGAATAAACGTAGCTTAACTTTATATTGCGCATTATCGTTACTTTATTCTAAAAGTTATTTTCAAATATCTATGCCTGCGAACGTATACATATAGTTATATTTATTTGCCATTCCTGTTTTTCTAAGTCGTCCATAAAAATCAAGTCAGAAATTAATAGGCATCTGTAACAGCAATTGATTATAAATCACAAACGTGTATCTAAGTATCTAGGCTTACGAAGGTGGAATTGTCATTGTACCCAGAAAATAATTGTAGCGAATGAATACTTTCATTTGAAGTAGATACCATTTAGGAATCGATTTACCATTTAATACTTACATATTCACATGTACTTATGAGGCAATGACACTTTATCTATCAGGAATCGATACTAATTGTGACGCTTTATTCGTTAAATTCAGCGAGACACGCGAGGGTTTTCCCGTTTTGCAGCGACGCTGCATCTCGTGATTCGCGATATAGATCTACACGAATGGATCATCAATCCGCCAGTCAAATGGTTTCGCAAACGCTGTCTTTGATTCTCAAGGAAAACATTCGCGAAAGGACCCGATCATCGTGAATTGACGATTGGTATTAGCGCCTCCAGCGCAACTTCCTGTTCGAAGCGAGGTTACTCGTCCTTTTACATCAAGCTGCAGAGAGCAAATCCTTGACCGGAATCGAAAGCCGACTGCAATACCGTGGTTTCCATGCAAAACGCAGCGTCCGTATACATCGCCGCGATTCGTTGCTGTTGCGCTCGGCTTTCGCTCTGCGATCTGCAAGCACATTCAAATTATTTCCAATTGGAAACCATTTCTAAGGATAAGCAAATAGGAGCAATGCGAGTTACGAGAAGATAAAAAATAATGTACGCTTCGTAAAATTACGAAGCGAGGAATCATAATATTAATACGATAAATTGCGAGGAGGGGCGAAGTTTTTTTCTTTCAACTATATATAATAATTTTAATAAAATTTAACTACTTTGCTCAAGAACGAACACGTTCATATTTCAGAAAACTCGCGAAAGCTTGCTCGAGCTATTCTTCTTTTAATCGGCTCGAACTAAAGCGGAGGGGACGGGGGGGAGAAGAGGAGGGGGGAGTGGAAATGCAGGGAAGAAACCGGGACGATCTGTATTTGCATAATCGCCGTCTCAACTTTTCTAAACTACTTTGAACCTGCCACTGGCTCTCAGCACCGCGAAATATCCCGGAACCAGCCAAGTACATCCCGGGCCGGGCCAACTCCCGGCGGTGCCGTAGTCGCATACGGCCACCTCGGAAACCGCGTGAATTATTCCACGAGCGATTCCCCAGCAGCCCCGAGATATGCGACCGAGAGTCGGCCCCGTACCGCGGCAGCCTCTTCGACAACTCACCTGGGAGGCATTGCCCGTGCACGCTGCTGCACTCTGACCTGTTCCCTCGGGAGCGAGATCGTAGCTCTGAGTTGATTCCGCCGTTGTTGATTCTGATATTGCGAGTCACGGCTGTTCAGCGTCAGCTGCGTTAGATACTCGCGAAGTTCGGGCTGGCTTGCCAGGAGCTCGCGTCGTGCCTGAATACTCGAACCCGGATTAGACGACGACGACGACGACGACGACGACGTCGTCGTCGTCGTCGTCGAGTCGGACCAGGGTGGCGGAGGAGTGTGCGAACGTGACATCATCGTGTACTTGTGACAAAGGTACTCCTCGTACGTCGGTGGCAGACCGGTCTGCAAAGTAAAAATGTGCTTCGTAAATAAAAGGAAAAAGAAGCACGAGATAAAACATTTAGAGTCATATCCAAATATATTCATGCGCGCGCGCGCGCGCGCGCGCACGCACACACACACACACACAC